GTGCACACACCTAAAGGCTATACTCATTGAGAGAAAGAGAGAAAGATGCACACTAACGCACACACCTAAAGACATTCCTGTGTGTGCAGAACTTCGGACTTGCAAGTTTCACAACCCAGAGGACGTGCCACAGGCAAAACACATCCCCTGTCCAACAAGACAACGCCCGGTTCTCAACAGAGCCTTCAGGGGATGTCGGCAAAATGGACGTAGCCCATTTCTCAGCAGAGTGCAACGGGTATACAGGAAGAAAATACAACATCCACAGTGTCCTGTACTGGTTCTTACCTGTCGGCTTTGGTATTTTGGTTTCTGTGAAAATGATCCGAGTCGGAGTGCAGATGACGTCAACGGGAACATCATGCACCAACAACTTCTCTGTAGGGATGTCGTCCACGAGCTGTTTGTCATGAACTGTTGCAAACGCATAAAACACAAGTACCAGGAAGCACATAACACGCATAAGTGTAAGGAACTCGATGAGACACATAAATGCAGGGAGAGAAATAGGCACAAAGCTGGTATATGAGGCACACAAACTATTTGAGCGTAGAGTCAATGACTGTCATTTCCCTTCTTTTTGTTATACAAGAGTGTAGGGGAATGCTATAAGCATTCTGATTTTCAATCAGCAGGTTGCAGGTTCGATGCCTGGAGGGAACGATTGAATTGCGATTTTCAGAACCATTGAATTTCGCGCTTGGGAGGCAATGATTAAGAATGAGTGCTATATGCAAGTCCTTTTTGCACACCATGCATCAGTTGGCCCCCGCGGACATCAATCCCATTGTTACACACAGGAGGTAGCGACACACGCCTCCCATCGGCAAGTCAGCTGGCCTTTCATCCTCAAGTTTACATCAACCACTCAGAAAAGTATTGCACTCTCTGCCTCTGTATCATCAGAACCTTACATGTGCCCGATTTAGGGTGTCACCGCACGGCACACCAAACGAATAACGAAACGAGTGCATCTGCCAGCAGAAAATGGCCAGGTTCATCGATTAGCTATAAATAGTAACGAGTGTATGTTGCCACCTTCCGTGGGCAGATGCACTCGTTTCGTTTTCGTTTCGTGCGCCGTGGGGCGAGGCCCTTAGTCAGGACGCAGGTGGTAAATAAACTGACCTATGTGGTTTGAGAGGGAAGAACGAAGCTGCAACATCGCAACCTGCCTCACAAAGTATGTCAACGCCGTCAGGCTGGCTTTGCCAGCTCCTGCAAGTGTGGCATGTGCTCACCCATTGCACTACTGTCCAACTTGTAGCGCCTATGCAGATCGAGTCCATTTCACACGCCAGTGCACATAGGCACCGCATCCATGCACACAAATGGCTAGTTTCCCCAAACTCCTCCACACGCCAGTACAAGCGGCACGTGCTCAGTTACAGGGTTGTACCTCCGACGGTAACCCTGGGTTATCCAGAGGCCACGTAGTTTTAACTTTTAACAAAATAAACATGGAATTTTTTTTTGCTGTCTGTCAGAGATTCAGTCCCATCCTGTGGAGTCAGTTTTCTGAATATCTTCTCGGCCAGGGTTGCATACCTGCTGACCGCCGACCCCGACCGCCGACCGTGTTGCAGCCGACCAGTAGGGCCAACAGGTAGGCGGTCTGCCGACCAGTCAGAAAACAACCATCCACTGATTCCACTGATTTTTTTTCAAATCTGAGTTGGGGGCTGGACTGCGGATGTTGGTGGGATTATTAGGGGTTCTGGACACCAAAAACAATAATAATAAAAAATTTGTGGGGTGCCGACGACCCCTAACCAGTAGGTGCCGACCAGCCAACCAGTCGAGGGACGCCAACCGTCGGGGTATGCGACACTGTTCTGGGGAACAAAAGCAAATTGGCACTACAGATTCAAAGTTTATGAAAGACGTGAAACAGTGAAAGTAATCATGGACTCGACAAGTATAATTTTTCTCGCATATTGTCATGCTGCACATCTCACACGACTGATCTGACAAAAGCGAAGAGAAGTTCGGTGGTAGTCTAGCGGATTTTTAATGCAGTCAATCCTTGCTAAAACTAAAATCTTTTAAGGCCATCAGTGCATTCCATCCTCGATTGGCAGTTCAGATTCAGAATTTATGAAAGACGTGAATGTAATCATGACACCTCAGCAATTCTGGGCTTCTGCATTTTCATGCTGCACATCTCATACGACTGATCTGACGAAAGCGCAGAGAAGGTTGGTAGTAGTCCAACAGATTTTCAATGCAGTCGATCCTTGCTAAACCTAAGATCTCAGATAAGTCAACCCTGGTAAATTACCCGGTTTCAAGACCAGTCAGGGCTGGCCCTGAGGAGGACCTCAGTCCACTCAGCACAGAGCTTAAGGATTTTGGCAACAGGTTCAAAACACAATACGGTCAGCCCTGCGTGGGCTTAAAAGCACCAGTAACTTGATCAGAATTCATTTCCCGAATTCCCGACCAAATTGGACCAATGACAATCTTTGAATCCCAGTCACAATGAAGTGGAAATATTGTGTACAAGGGTTGAATCCGCAATGAACATAGAAACACGACAAGATTACATGTGTTTTTCAGGCTAGAGTATTTTCATTAAAAAGTAGTAAAAAAAAAAACAGAAGTTCTGAGGGCAGCGCTCCCGATCTTACCAGAGGTCACAACCAATGTGTTTTCATCAATAGCTCCCATCCACCTCAGCATGCCATACTCCAGCTCAGCAAATCCCTGTTCACTTACGTATATTTTACGCACAGAATTAACACCAACCCCTCCCCCATCAGGAAGTATATACGATAGTTGCCTCTTCCCGAACTCTCTGCATGGAATTCCATAAAGCACATCCACAAACACGTAGACAGACAACACTGTACCCCCTCCTAATCATTCCAGACTCTTCTACAGGCATCTAGCGCCAGCACATCCTGCTCTCTTTTCAAACATAGACATGGCATCATTTGCCTGGGGACCAAACCCAGCACCACCTTCAACAGTAATCAACGACGGAACACCACAGAGGTTATACTCTTCCACTCGTACCTGCTGGCCTGCCTGCTGAGCAGGGATTAGTACTGATCACCCCCGCAAAGTAGAGCAGTCACCAAACCATCACTCATCCATATCTAGAAGGTTTCATACTTAGACACTCATCACTCTGGCACATAGGCAAGTCTGCCTTTACAGGTTCCGCCTGCAGATCAGCATATACAACAGGCCCGTAACTAAGGTGCACATGTTACCCCCTCACTAGCTCTAACTTTTTCACATGCACACTCACTACCTGCAGTTATTTCACTCTCTCTCTCTCTCTCTCTCTCTCTCTCTCTCTCTCTCTCTCTCTCTCTCTCTCTCTCTCT